TATGTCCAGTCATTAAACTGGGATATTGGGGATGTGTATGTGGCTGAGGCATCTTAGAGAACAGTGCATTTTTCAGTGAGAATGATGCTGCTGGACAGACATTTATGCTGTTCTAGGTGTTTTTTGTAATCCCTGATAATCAGTTCCTCTGCTGCCTTCCCTCTGTAGAGGAGTTCACAAAGGGTTTGTCCCAGAGAATTTTGCTCTGGGGCCCTGAATGTCCAATCCTGGAATTTGCCTGTTGCTGTGGGGCCTTTGTAGAAGAAGAGTAGAAGAGCTATGGTGGCTGGCCCACTCCTCCCCTAAGGTGAGGCAACAGCTTGTGTCCAGCTTATTTCTCTGGTTGCTGAGGGGCTCATTCTCCATTGGACCTGGAAGCTCTGCCCAGCCCTTCACAGCCAGGGCGAGGTGTCGCGGTGCCTGAGCGCAGAGGGAGCAGACAGGGAGACACCCAACCCAACCCCTGGCTGGGTGCCACCCTGCATCCTCTGCCAGGCTCTGCCTGCTGAGCACTGCTGAGCACAGTGCGGCCTTGGGGCGGTTCTGCTGCACGCACAGAAATGGGCACAGAGCAGCATTCATGGGAGAGGTGTGTGAGCTCATCTCCCCCACAGGCCGGAGGTCTGCCCTCACATCTGCTCTTCTGCACTGGCTCCAACAACCACGCTAGATATGCACAAAACAACTACCACTGATAGGCTTGTAATGTGCCCAAAAGCTATGGGGGTTTGTTTTATTTCTTCAGCATGTCCAGAGCTCTGGTAATGACTTTGGTCCTACAGGTCTGGAGGAGCTGCCTTCATCAGCATTAAGTGTGAGATCCAATTTAGAATGACGTCGTGCATTAACGCGCACGGCTTGCATCAGTGGGAAGGATTTTCCACTTTACGTGTGCCCTGCCAGAAGCTTCTTGGAGGTACATTTACCTAATGAAATTGATTTAGTGTCTGGCCTGTGTTGCCTGCTAATAAAATCTTTCATACAAAATCATGATAATAAGGTATTTTATGGCTTTCATTTATGCTAATATATGCTGTTTGATTTGCTTTATGCCATATTTTTCTAAGTATATGGAGAACAGAAATAAAAACAAATTCTGTCTAATTGCCATATTAAAAATGAAAGACTTAGTGGAGCATGCTGTGTTTGTCACTCAGGTTTAGCTGGAGAGTTTGTGAGGAGAATCTTCTGATAAAATATTTCTGGCTTTTCTGGGGAAAAAAAAATGGAACTATGATGTCAAGTAATTAGCTTAATCTCATTAAATACGAAGCAATTTTTTTTCTCTGAATTATAACCCCACCTAAGAAAGATAAGAAAGATTGCCTTGGCTGAACACAGCTGAACTTTGCTAACAGTAGACTTTGACCCCATTTGCTTTGCATTTATTTACACCAAAAATATAAATGGGAGATCTGGTTCTCAGCGAATGAAAAACAAATTCTTACACTTCAGATGAATGACACATTCTGCTTCTTCGTATGCTTTTTCCTACAACTGATATTTTTAGTTTCATGCAGAGAAGAAACTGTTTACTTCCCTTCCTAAGTAAACAGCAAGAAGCACAATTATTAAGATTGGGAGTGCAGAACTGTAAGTAAAGAGCCTAACTCCCACTAGTTTCATTATGGAATGGAATTGTCTGTCATGAAAAAAAATGTTTTTACTCTGCACTGCAAAATATAGTATTGATTTTAAAGTCTCAAATAAATATCACCTGCACTTACAAGGAAATTATCTAATGACTGTTCATTTTACATTAGATAGCATAATGTGTGAATAACTGTTCAGTAGTTGGGAGGAGGTAATACACTTAAGCCTTAAAAATACAATGAAAATCTAGAAAGCTGTTGTACTGCAAACAGGATAAACCAGATTTTTTGTAGAAGCAAATTCATAGTCTTGTTGAACACAGCAATCAGATTTTGCTTCCAGTTTTATTTCTCCCATCTCCCTGAATTAAGGAGGGAGCATGAATGTAAGCAGAAGCAGAATCTTCTTGCAACCCACTCATCATCAATTCTGCCTCATGCAGTCCTTGACATGCAGGTACTGGCATCTCCTCTTACAGCTTTAAGGATCTCTTTTCATCATCTCTGTTTCATTGATTCTCTCTGTTCTTTTCTGCTTGCTCCATTCTGAGACTTCACCTCTAGTACTGCATCCAGTTCAGGGACTCCCAACGAAAGAAGGATCTGGACCTGCTGGAACAAATCCTAAGGAGAGTCATGAAGATGATCAGAGCCTGGAGCATGTCCCCTATGAAGACAAGCTGAGAAAATGGGTGTTGTTCAGCCAGGAGAACAGAAGGTTCTGGGGAGGCTTTGCAGCAGTCTTCCAGTACCTAAAGGGAGCCTAGAAGAAAGCTGGAGAGACTTTTTGCACAAGGGCATGTAGTAACAAGAGGGAATCACTTTAAATTGGCAGAGGACAGGTTTAGATTATATATTAGAAAAAAATTATTTACTGTTTATGAAGCAGTGAAGCCCTGGAACAGAATGGCCACAGAAGGTGTGGATGCCCCTCCCTGGAAGCGTTCAAGACCAGGTTGGATGGGGTTTTGAGCAAGTGGTTGTAGTGGAAGTTGTCCTGCCCACTACAGCAAGTTCAGAATGAGGTGATATTTAATGTCCCTTCCAAACCAAATCAAACAAACCAAACCATTGTGTGATGCTGTGATCTATGTAGCCTGTGAACCAGGGGAATGTATCTGTTCCCTGCCCACCAAGGCCTTGCTCCTCTACTTCTTTCTCCTCCAGTTCCTTATGTCCAAAGCCTACCTGAGCTGGTTTCCACTCTCCTGATGAAGCTCTTGTTGAGATCTGCAGGGTGAGGGCAGACTCACTCTCTTGACCATTCACATCAAGGCTAACATGGTGTCTGTGTCTTGATGGTTAACCCATCATGTGCATCATCTGGTGGTGTGTTGATGAAGGATTATAAAATAATCCAGTCAACAGGGAGGGAAAACTCCAACATGTAAGTGCTGATAAAACATAGCTGGGTTAATAGTTAACTGGTCCTTTTCCCTTCCTTTTCCTCCTTCCAGAGACACACTTGTGAATACACTACAAGATGTGAAACCTGTTCATGTTACTTCTTTTATTTATCTGGTTTTATTAATCTCTCAGCCTACCTCCAGGTCTTTCTCTTTCTTGTTCAGAAGTGACTCTGTCATGTTAAGTAAATAGCAGCTTTCTTGACAAAGTGCAGAGCATTAGCTGCTGCTAAGGTATGCTTTATTGATTGCTGTTGATTTTTACAAATTTACTTCTACTGCTCCTGCCATTTAGTGGTAACTTAAATGTTTCATTAGTGAGGCAAAATTGAGGTGCATGAAAGCAATCCCTACAATACAGTTCTGCTTTCTACAAGTTTATTATCCAAGACCTCCAATGGAGGGAAACTACTTTATCAGATGTGTTGAAAAGAAAACAGATGCAACAGGTTAATTATGTTGCACTGCCTTTTCAAATAGAATTTAACTTCAGATGTTTCAGTCAATGTTGTAAGTATTGAGCTGAAGCAGAGTCTGGGCAGCAAGGCAAGCTGACCAATGAGTACACTTAAAAAAACCAATAAGCTTGGTCTTAGCTTGGAGATCATTAAGGGAACTGAGAAATCATTAAATCTAGAAATGAGACCTAATGGAAGTCAATGAGAGAACAACTATGGATAGTTCATGAGCAACACTGCATTATGTTCTCACCTCTTCGGAGACACATAATAAGATACTTGAATTTCTCTTTGAACAACAGTAAATGTAGAATGTGAAAATATCAGGGGGGAAGTAATCCTTTGGGCCATCCTCTCAATAAATGATTTCTGCAAGCCTTAATTAATTATCAGAGTAACTTGTGAAACAAGCTTATGTGAAATGGCATCATAAAATATTTGTTTAATAGTTAGCCCCAAAGCACATCTGGATTACCTTGAAACTTCAAAAGTTCATTACCAAGAATTATTGAAATATCACCAGCATAATTTCATTGTGAAGAACACAGGCTGAACTGTGCAGAGAAGGGCTCCACTCCAGAAATCCTGGCAAGCAATCTTTGTTAGGAACAACACTGATGTAAGCACAGTCTTTAACCTTCAAGTAGTTTGTAGTACATAGATAGGTGTGTTATTGCTGCATTTCTGAGTGGTAACTTCTCATTATGTATTCCAAAAGGAAAAGCAGTATCAACAGGTCCACAACAGGGAGGAATGCTGGAAAAGTGAGGTGAGTCTTCAGCTGACCTTAAGAGAGAACTGAGCTTTTCTTAGCATTCCTGAATTCCTGCCACTCAGCCCTGCACCAGGTGGCATTTCCCAAAAGGGTCATTTATCTGAGCTTAGCTGTGTCAGCGAGTCCGAGCACAGTGGTCAGTCCTGCAGGTGGATGCTAGCCCTGGTAGAAACTGAAATATGTACGTATTTACTGGGTTATCAACTGTTTAGCAGTAACAGACTTGTTGCCAACAGTTCAGTAATTGCTTTATCACACTAGGAGTCTTTAAAAGAAAATAAAGCCTTTTAATAGCATCACTATATATATATATATATATATGTATAGTGTTAGATAGAAGGCTTACATTCCATTAGCACAAATAACTGTTTTAAATCTTACCAACACCTCTGCGGGGAAGTAAATTATTGCTAATTCCTGTTCAGATCAGTTATCTTGCCTGTGATGTAGGTCCCCCAAAAATATATTTGCTTTTTTTCTTGCCTGAGAGCCCCAGACTGGCAGAGGAAGGCGTTTTGAAGGGGCTGCTGAAGGAAGAAATGCCGTTAGTACGGTTCCGGGAACCAATAAGCACCTTCATGAAAATAACTCAAGTCCCCATCCTTAATCCCTGCCTATCCTTTTTTATCTGATGCACTCAGCGAGGGCTGGAAGATCCCAGCGTGGCTGAAAACAAAAGGGAGTTAACAAGATGTGAGCGGCGAGGGATAAAACAATCGCCGGAGCCCTCCACGCTGCCGAGAGCCAGGTGTGCCCATGCCCAGGTGCCATGTGGCTGGCGGGGACTCTGCTGTGCTGCTGGGCGCTGGCAGCGCTGCCCCGGGCACGGGGCTCCTGCCCCTCGCAGTGCAGCTGCGCCTTCCACAGCCTCGGCGAGGGGACCAAGGCCAGGTACGCTCTCGCGGCGGGGTCGGGGGGTGCTTCTGCTCCTCCGCGAGGATGCTCAAGGGAGACAATATCGTGTCTGGACTTTGTGGCCATTATTTTTCCGGCTGCTCCAAGCTCTGGCTATATTTGCAGAGGATTAGCTTCTGAAAACACAGTAAGCTGATTTCAGAGAAAGCGTTCGGGCATCTCTTCTGTGAGAACAGAAGTGACATAATTATTGCTGGTGTAATGGCAAAAAAGGAATAAAATTTAAACAATTTTTTTTTTTTTTTTTTTTTACTTTTCTGCTGGGAATTCTGGTTCTAAAAGGTTTTATTCTGATCTGCTGGTTTGTTACTAAAGAGTGACTAGATTTGATTCACGTTGTGGTATAAAACCCAACAATTTACTTAAAAAATCTTTCAGCTGGAGATTTTAGGCATAGCAATATACTTTAGACAAGAATGAACTAAAAAAACAGACAGTAACAAAAAAATTAAAAGAAGTTCATTCTCAGAGTGGAAACTTTCCATTAAAAAAGAAGGCAAGACCAGAAGAACATCCATCTTTGAATGCAAAGCCATTGAACATATATTTCTCTGGAGGACTGTTACAAAAGAGTCCTTCTGAAGGGTAAGCACGAAGTATCTGACTTAAAGAAAATAGAGGCCATATTTTCATAAGGTGTGGTTCACAGAAGAGGAGGTTTTGTGACAGAGATACAGGATTTGCAAAATCCTTTGTAATAAACTTTCTCAAGGCTGAAATATTTTTTCATTACTGAAATATTTTGGAACCCCATGAAATAGCTCTACTTTTTTATCTCTTTTATGGCACTATAGATTTAATACTAGAAACTTTCCCAGTAAGAAGAAGCATGGTAGAGACACAAGTAGCCTGCAATTGCTAAAAGGGAGTGTAACAGTGTGAGAGCCAATTATTTCTCCATAAATGTGACAGTTCCCAGGGGAATTTCCTCTCAGTGACTGGAAAAAGCTGTTGTACATTTTAGTAAGATACATAATGAAGCAAATATCCTTAGTCCCTTAAGGAGCATAATGCTGCCTTTTTTATGTATTATGAATTCATATTTCTCACTAGAAGGAGATTATCCCATAGATTAAATGTTCAGTGCTCACTGACATAATTTAGGGACACTATGAGAAGCATTCTGCTTTACTGCCGTGGTCCTTCTGTTAGTAACATTTTGTGACATGACTACACAAAGTAAAAATGTTTTATTGAAAGTGGATTTCTAAATTTTTCTTATTTGATAGATTTTTATCTTCCTCAAAATCTCAACTTTCGGCAGAGGGTGGGCAGGATTTAATGCCACAATAAAAGTGTTGGGTGAGAGTAATGTACTGTGTTTTGATTATAAATTAACAATTTAACTGCAGGCTCAAATAGCATTTAAATCTGGGAAGTTTGCCTGAGCAGTTCAACGTTATATATTTTTGTTGATTGTAGAGGAATAATTGCTTTCAGCCAAAACCAGCCTGGTTTTGACAGCTTTGTAATATTCTGTTTATAGAGAGTGTGATAGAAAAATGTTACTTGACTGATGACATTACATTTCTTGTGGTGTCTTGTTCAGCAAGTGAACTGGAACACACCCATCCAAACTCTTACCTTTTGCAGGTGGCTTGGTATTTTGTTAAGAATTTGCCTTCCCCTACTTGCTGATAGGCAAATTAAAATTCAGTCTGAGAGACCTGTTTTATCTCCCTTCATTTCTTATGGCTCTCTACAATCCCAAATCACATTTTTTGTATGAAAGCTGCAAAAATGCAGCACAGGCTTTTCATGCTTTGACCTTTAGAGATTAGAAATGGGGAGGAATGATTAAAACACATAAATCTGCCTTGCTTTCAGTATAGCATTTTCCAAAGAGTTAATTTTCTGTGCTTTCACTCTCATGACTATACGTGCCTGCGGTGCAGTGACTGCTGCCATCTTTACACACCCTCCATAGTAAAGCAGAGCTTACTCCAGAGTACTTCCAAGGAGTTGTTAGCTGGCTTTCTTATTCTCATTTCTCAAACCAGAGTTCCCATGTCATATTTAATCTATATAACTTCTTGCCCTCCCACATGTCAATAAGGCTTCTTTTTGTAGGGATTTTGTAGTTCAATTTATGGATCCTTTAGTTTTAACTTGCATTAGAATCCTGTTGTGCATGAATGTTGTCACTGCTATCATAAGTACTCTAAAAGACCTGATAGCAAAACCCAACAGGAAGACTGAATAGGCCGGTTTGGACTCACACCACTGCACTCTCTGCAGTCAGAAGGCAGTAATATGAATTACTGCAAGTTGTTGTATTTACAGTGATAATGCAGTGATCAGCAGCAAGAAAGAAATGACAAGAAGAAATCTTGTGAAAATAGAAAGGCAGATCAAAATCTTGCATTAAAATAAGGTTTCAAATATTTTCAAAATAAGAGTCACATCTTTGCTTGTTCTTGTCTTTCCCCTCCAGGACAGTGCTGTGTAATGACCCAGAGATGACCCTCCCTCCTGTGAACATCCCTGTTGATACAACCAAGCTTCGGATAGAAAAGACAGCCATCCGCAGGGTGCCAGGAGAGGCTTTCCACCTGCTTCACAACCTGGAGTACCTCTGGATGCCCTACAACTCCCTGGCCAGCCTCAGCAGCATCACCTTCAAGGGCCTTCGTCGTCTGCAGGAGCTGAGGCTGGATGGGAACAACTTAATATCATTCCCCTGGGAGAGCCTGGCTGGGATGCCACAGCTGAGGCTTCTGGATTTACACAACAACGAACTCACCTCAGTCCCTTCAGATGCTGCTCGTTATGTCAAGAATATCACATACCTGGATCTGTCTAGCAATAAGCTGATGACTCTTCCTCAGGCTCTCATTGCCACCTGGGCCAACCTCCAAGCTGTTCCCTACTTCCCCAATGATAACTCCAAGATCATCCTAGGTAAGAGAAATGCCTGCCATTTTGCAGGGGACACAAATGTCAAGGGTTCCTCATCTCCTTACAGCATTTTCACCCACTGTGGTTACCACAGCAAGTACACTGCTATTATACGTATACAATTTAATAGCCCAAATAATGTGTGTAAATTCATCTGCATATTAACAAACTCGCCTCAGGCTCATCACACCCATCTTATTATGCTGTAAATTTGATTACTTGCTTGGATCTTTGCAGCACAAAATTGGTGACTCTTGCTCAAGGCTTTTTTAGTTATTGCCACTGCCATTTTGGATAGAAATATAAATATATTTACAGCTCTTCATCATTTGTGTGCTCTTTTCTAATAGCATTGTGTTTGGAATTGACCCATTTTAAGCAGAACTAAATAAAAGGATGGATTATTTATTATGCCTAAGTTAAAGAGGAATAATGCCATGACTGAGCATAAAATCTGGGTCAGAGCTGCCAATTTGTCTCTTCCCAGAGCCTTGTTTATCTGTTCTCAGAGAATTAAACCCTAGTCTACCCGAGCACACCAAGACAGTGCTGTGGTGAAGGGCAGCTATGAAGCTCCAAGAAGGGCACCTAGGAAGCGCCAAGAATACCCTTTCTGGTGGCAGCTCTAGGCTCCCCAGAGGTACAGCTTTGGGGCAATTACCCATTTTTTGTGTCAGGGTTTCTCAGAGCTGACTCTCAGTTGCAGGATGCCCAGGTGAGGTTCTGAGCCCGTTTCTTCGTTCAGGGGATTATTGCATGGTCTTTAGCCATTGTTCACTGTTCAAATCCATGACAGGTTGATGATGGCTCAGTTGTTGCCATCTGCATGTACAGCCTCTGCAGCCTGGGGTGTGAGCTCAGGCACCTGCTGATAATCTCAGCAGAAGCACTGCAAGTTTCCTCTCACTCTGGCAAGTACTTGCTGCTCTTTGTTTCCTTGATAAATTTAGGGAGGTGAAGTTTTTAAAACCAGACTGCAGTGGAAAGAGATACAAGACTTTAAAAATGTACAAAATACCACCTACAAAGCTTTTAGTGTCCTTAGCAGATGTTGATGAAGGTTTCAGTAGTATCAGGAGAGGAGCAGGTGTTTCACGATCCTGTTTTGCCAGATGCAGTAACAAGTTCTTTAAACCAAAATTGGCAGTTTGGGATTGCCCATTTCATTTGTGGCAAGACTGCCCAGATCATACTTTTTCCTTTTTATTTTTAGAGTCAAGTTATGTGTAAAAATGTTATTCCATTCAATACAGATTAGGAGAGTGTTTTATCAAGAACAAATCATGCCTTGATGCACATGGCCAAATTGAATAGTATCCAGCTAGGCACAGGCTGATTGTGCCAGGATCCTAAAAAAATCATGCAGCCATATGAGTACAATGCTAAAATTAATGCAGTAATGTACAGACACTCCAGGTTCTAGGTCCTATCCTGTGGACACCCACAGGAACCATGGAGATAAAATGCATGTCCCTCACAGGAGCAGGCTGAGAAAACACAGCTGCATGTTTCTGTTTCACTCTGCTCATGACTGTTTCTCATGGAGGCATAAAAAAATCATGAATAATAAAAAGAGTCAGCCCAATCCATTTCTTGTCTGCAGTGCATCACTGTGACTCCAGAGCCACCGCTTGCAGACTCCTTCAAGAAGAAGTAATTCCTCTGCTAAGTTGCTGGCTGCTAGTCTGTGCCAAGGGTGCAAGCTTTTCCACATGAGGGCTGCCCACGTGAGCCCATGGAACTGTGCTGTGCAGGGCAGCCAAGGCCTCACTGGGCTTTGTGGGTGCTGCTGCTTCACCTGGGATCAATTGTTATATAGTGCATGAACTAGAAACTGCTGGCAAAAATGCCATAAAACAAAGCCAAGCTGAATGTTCACTATTTACTTAGTCCCCTTCACTATAACATATTAATTTACAAGAACTGAGCTCCTGCCAAAACCCATCACTTCTAGATCCTCTTCTAAGCCCTGGGAAGAAGATATGGAACGCACTCAGAAGTTTTTCCACAGCATCTTAAAAACAGTTTGAGGCAGTATTAGTACTTTTCCCTTTTGGGCAGGTGCCAGCCCCCAGGCACGTCCTTGGGCTGTGCAAGGAAAAGAGGAGGTGCAGCCCCCTCAGAGGGAGCAGAACTCACCCCTGTGGCAGGCAGGATGCCTGGGAGCCATGCTCCTGGCTTAGGCTTCAAATGTGTGCCTGGGGTTTGATGGCATTAATATCCCTGGTGCCAATTCTGCTAGCTAAAATCATTAGAGATACCTGTCCACAGCACAGCTGGATGCGAACATTTGTAAGTAGGATGACACAGATTTAATCAGAATGCAGCAACTTCTGTTCATGGATATGCATTGCTCCAGTTCCAAATTTGCTTTTTCAGTACTATCTTCACAGGTCTATTTTTAATAATGTATATTTTTTTTTCAGAATTGGAATTCAATAGGTGTAAACTGGGAGAGCAGAATAAAGAAGATAAACATTCCAAGAGTCTGAAACAGGAGTGTGTTTTTCAATATATCTCTTTCTGTGTGTATAGCCCGAACATAGTTATGGTCTATCTACATTTTTTATATACCATAACAGGCATATTCTCCAATTTAATCCCTAAAACAGTTTTTCCTTGTTATCCAGTATCAATTAGAATTTCAGGAAAAGCAACTGATTACCAAAATAATGAAAATAACTTAGACTAACAGAGCTGGAAGACAACTATGGCAGGCAAGTAGGACCAGCCACAGCTATTGCAGGTGTGAAAAGTGGGATGATAATCTGGCCTAGTATTTTAAGAATGTCCAGTGAGAATTTTCTGGCCTGTCTGAGATTTCATAGTGTCCTCATGCTAGAAGAATCCACAGCCCTTCTCCCATGAGTAATTGTTTCTTTCATCCTGGAACAAAATGTATTTATAATAAATTCTTGTTTTGCTTCTTTGTATGCATGAATCACAATGTTTTCATTATATGAATAATCCTGCTTTAAACTTAAAGAATATGATTTCATATCAGGTTTGGAGATACTTTAGCAAGTCACATTTATTCCATTCTGGCAACTGTGGGATCCATCAGATGCAGCAGCAGTGGGGGTACACACCCCTCCTATCCCACATAGTCCTGCACAGGCAGTTCTTGTGGAGCAGACTGGGAGTCTACCACACTGTCCTGCTGAAAAATAGAAACCAAAGTGGCAGAAACAAAAGGTGCTGTTGGAGTGACTTAGTGCCCCAATTTCTTTTTGACAGGCTTGCAAGACAATCCTTGGGTGTGTGACTGCAGTCTGTACGAAATGGTGCATTTCCTAAATTTCCAGTCTCCTAACATAGCCTTCATTGAGCCCAGGCTGAAATGCTTCACCCCCCGGAGCCTTGCAGGAGTCTTCTTCAGCCAGGTGGAGCTGAGGAAGTGTCAGAGCCCCGTGGTGCACACATCTGTGGCCAAGGTGAAGACCATCCTGGGCAGCACGGTGCTGCTGCGCTGCGGCACCACGGGCGTGCCCGTCCCCGAGCTCAGCTGGAGGAGAGCTGATGGGGCTCCGCTGAATGGCACAGGTGGGTCTGGTTTAAGCTTTTCTGCACACGTGGAATGAGTGAGGCAGACCTGTACTAGGTGCAATCCACTCTTGCACTGTGATTTTCTATAGACTATAGAATTACTTATATGTTGATCTTAATATTATCAGATAAATGTCTGTTATCATGTGCAGGAAGTTTTGCTTTCTTTCATAGCAATTCTGGTGGTGAGATGAGGATTCTCTGTGAATCTGCTGGAGCTAAAGAAATGAAGTATTTCCAATAGTAGCAATTAGCTGTTTTCAGTTAGTTAATAATTCAGTCACTGAAAAGGCTTTCCACTGAATTATTCTATATTCTATTCATGTATTCTATTGCTAATCCATTAGGAAACATCTCCGGCAGAGATGTCTGATGTGAATTCAACTGGGATTCAGATCAGCTGTAGAAAAAAGAAAAGGTTGCAAACATACAGCATCACTGATATATTAAACAACAAAAAACCCACTAAAATACTTCAGTGGGAATGTCCCCGAGGAATCATTCCCTCTGACAGACTGACAAGCTGTCCTGGGAAAAAAGGCTTATGGAAGAAACCCTGACCACCTGGTCTGAGCACCTCTCCTGGGGGAAGCCTTCAAACCAACACTGGTTTTGTGACTGATCACGATTTCATTTCCATTCACAAGAAAGTTTGGAGCTGTAATTGCAACACTGGTCTTTTACTTTGTGATGGAATTGAGAGAGGAAGCCTTTGTTCTGCTGAAGACAGCTGTCCTTAGTTTTTGTCCTAGAAGTTTTCAGTCAGGACCTGAACCTTCTTGCCTCCAACTTGCCCTGAATACTTCTGTATCCTAGTCCTGCCCTGACTTCCATAGAGAATCTAAACCCAGCAGATAAATTGCTAGATATTGGGTCTGATCTTCAAAGGGTTACAGGGCTCCTCCGTGCACAGAACAGGGAAGAGAGCAATTTTCTTTCTCAGCAGTAGAACCATTTGTAGTAAGTATTGTTTCCTGGATCTTCACATGTCATTGTTCTGTTGTGCACGATGTAGCAGAGCTGCTCCTCATGATGATAATGTGTACCCATCATGCTGCAAACATCCCTCCTACACTTGGAAAGAGAGCCACCACAAAAAATAGAATGGGATGATTTCCTGAAAGCCTATGTTTACTTTGAGCTACAACTGAGAATGATTTATTTTGTGCCCCATTAAATCAGATGGTAGCACCTTTCAATAAAAAGCTTCTGTGCCAATGCTACAATGTGACTATTTTGAGGTGTTCTTAGCAGAAAGGAGTGAGAAACAGTACAGAGTCTGTATCTGCAGGTTATTGCCTTAGGTAGACCCATAGCTTTGTTTTTTAAAATACATACTCAGTAAATAATTAAACTGAAAAAGTAACTTCTTTTACCTTGTATTTTGCTGTCATTGGAAGGGACCCTAGTTGCCAAGGCTGGATCCTGACCCCAGGAGGGCTTGGGAGAAGTTTGCATTCTCTCACCTTTGCCTTTCAGATATCTATCTGGTTTACCTTTCAGCAGGAAAGGGCTGAGACAGCACATGCCCATCCTAAGGAGGCTGGTTAAATCATGAAGAGGATGCTTTACCTTTCCACAAGATCCCAACTATTTTTTTTTTTCTGCACCAGTAGAAAAAGGCAAAAAAAGCTAGTTTTAGTCTGCAAGTAAATCACATGAGCAAATCAACAGGCAGCTATGTATGTATCATTTGGTGGTAACCAAATGTACACCTGTGTAAAGATAAACACCTGCAATAATTAAGTAGTAGAAGGGATATTATCTTTCAACTATTTTCCCATATACTCTAGGCTAGTCTGTGTGTGTTTATTACAATAACATCTCCATTGTTTGCATTTTCTTTGCCTCCACAGTCTGCATCAAATGCTCTAATAGATCATGTTGCTGCCTGCTCCATCCACTCTTTCAAGTATTGTACTTATATAAGAATTTTTAAGCTTTTATTTTTAATGGAAGAACCTTTCCTGTTATGTTTTCAATCTGTACATTAATTTGGAGGAAACAGCATCAACTTTTTAATGTATATTAATTTTGAAGCAGTTCAAATCCTGACATAATCTAATTATAGTCCTTTTCTTCAGTTTGATTTTGTAATGTTCTTAGTGGTGAGCAGAAACCATGATTCTTTATCATATACTTTATTGAGCAGATGTTTGGTGATGGAGTCTTAATATTTTACAAACTTGGAATTAATTCCATTTATTATTGCCTGTTTATTTAACATGTTTCCTGCCTTGCAGTTCACCAAGAGATTTCCAGTGATGGAATGAGCTGGTCTATCCTGGGCCTGCCTGTAGTCTCTTACCTTGACTCAGGAGAGTACATCTGTAAAGCAAAGAATTTCCTGGGGGCAACAGAGGCGTTCATCTCGCTCATCATCACAGACTCAGAAGGCACGGATGACCCTAACTCCAGTGCCAAAGGCACATGGAATGGCAAGGCCAGCGGGATGGAGGCAGCTGCCTACAATGACAAATTGGTGGCAAGGTATGTTATCACCACCTCCACTGTGCCCACCCTGGGGGCTGGGGTGGGCACCGGAGACAGCGTCCTCCTCCCAGACATGGCACAAGACAGCAACTCCCAGAACCTGCTGGTGAGCCCCACCACGGGCCAGCAGGAGCCAGAGAGGATGGTGAGGTCTGTCAGAGTCATAGGGGACAGTGACCAGAGCATTACCCTGGCCTGGAAGGCGCCTATGGCAAAGAACACCACGGTGTTCAGTGTGCTTTATGCTGTCTTTGGGGAGAGGGACATGCGGCGGATCAATGTGGAGCCAGGGAAGACCAAGGTCACTCTTTATGGGCTGCTGCCAAAGACCAAGTACATCGTGTGTGTCTGTGTGAAAGGGCTGATCCCCAGGAAGGAGCAGTGCATCATATTTTCCACAGATGAAGTTGTCAGTGCAGGAGGGACGCAGAAGCTCATCAATGTGGTTGTCATCAGTGTGGCCTGTGTCATTGCTGTTCCTCTGACTCTGGTGGTCTGCTGTGGAGCACTGAAACGGCGCTGCAAAAAATGCTTTGTGCGAAAGCCCAAGGACGTGCAGGAATCCTATGTCACCTTTGAAAGCCTGTCCCCCGGGGCCAAGGCGAAAGGCGTGGAAGGAGAGTACCTGACCAGGCACACCCCTGACGAGTCCAACAGGCTGCTGTCTGCCCGCTCCAGCGTGGACTCGGAAGCCATACCAAAGATAGAGGGACAGCCTAATGAATACTTCTGCTGACAGCACCTAGGCTGACTGTCAGCTCCCCAGTGGGAAGCATGTGGCTGAATCTGTGACTCTGTGCCAGCACTGCAGGCCAGCCTGTCCATGCTTCTGACATGTTCTGGAAGAGGATGCAAGAGCATAGACGGTGCCCAAGCTTTACAGAAACACGTTGCTCATGCCACCTGGGGTTGGTTGCTTTGTACCCAGTCAAAAGCTTCTCTGATAACGGCCTCATTCTCTTGGACCACTTTTTTTTTTTTTTTTTTTTTTTTGCCTGTCAAATGAAGTATGCACACTAAGTGTAAGGACATTAAGAAACATTTCTGAGTGTGCTCTGCTTGGTATTGTTTAGGACCCGCTCCACAATATGCTACGTATTTCATTCTCAGCTCTTTTGATGTTCTTTCGGTTGACAAGATGGAGTATTTAGTAATTTTAATAAAAACACTTAGGAAAGTGAAGATTGAGAGTCTTACCTTTTACACCCTCCATGTTTTCATGAAACATGCAGCTTGATGCTTAACAGATCACCAAATAGAGATGTCCAGCAACCCTTTCTAATATGTCCAACATAATTACAACTCTATGCTCTGAATTCAGAGAAGTGTGCAAAGGAGATTAAAATGAAGAGACAATCCACTCCTAAGAATGCATAATAGAGAGCATTTGCTGATCGCATTTTGTCCCTAAACTCTGTTCTAAAGATATGAAACAATAGTAAAGGTCTTTCAGTATCAGTCCTAGCTGGGATTTTGTATCTGTATTGTAATTAGTAGAATATATTTTATACCAGCTATGCTACATTACAATCATAAAATGGCCTACTTTGCACATTGTGTGTGGTGGTGTAATGCTTTGCAATCATACTGGAAAACCTACACTAGAGAGTTTTGCAAACATCTCCCAAACCAGCTCTGTCACTGCTGCCTGAGCTCCTGGCAAAACCCATGGTGAAGGCCCACATGATCAGCCAGGTAGATGTGACTTGGTCATGGAAAGAACTTGCTTTGTGAAGAGTAGGAGAAAGTGATGTGGTGTCAGACCACTGGCCATGCACACATCAGCCACTCCTGACTATGGTCTCAGTGCAGTCTTTTTGGGTTTCAAACATTTTACAAATTCAAGGACTCTGAAAAAAGCCTGTCTAATATTAATCTAAATGTAGTCAGGGTGAACTGACCAGTCATTTAAGTTCTGCAGCTTCACTGGAATTTGAATCTGAGTGCTTATCACAAACTAATTCCCAGATGTGTAATTTTCCACTCAAGTCCCTCATGTAGCAATACTGTATATAACATTTTTCTCTTTGTAATAAATATTATTCATGAAGAAAATTATATATGTTCTGCCAAATACTGAATGGGAAAGATCCAGTCAAGTTGAAATGCTAATGGATAAAGCTTGCTGAATTGTTCTGCAATGTGTTTGTAAATTTATTGGAAGGACTTCCACTCACATTCTGGATGTGTATGTACAGTGTGGCTTAACAAGATTCACTGGCTGGGATGGAACCCTGTATGGATTTTGCAAGTCCTCCTTGTACACAGAAGGGTTTCACTTATGTCAGATTACTTGGCCTGATGGAAAAAGCATGTCATTTGATCTCAACAAAAATACCAGCAACAGGGATACATCACAAGAGTTTCTGAAGGACTCTTGTATTCCTTGCATTTATGACAAGGAAATTCTCTTTTATTGGGAGAATTTGTCAGTCCCTGTATAAAATAATTCATGCTATTTCTATCACTGGACTGTGTAGATTTTTAGGTTTACAAATAAAGTTTTGTAAAATTATATATTTTAATGCAACAAATTGACTGATGAAAGATGGTGCGTAATAGATCTATTCCTTATTTATAAAGTTTAATAAAATGTTTTAAAGTTTTGTCCAGCCTGCTTATTAGAGTCAGAAAGAAACTGTCTTTCCAGAAGCAGTTTTTGTGCTGAGTTGCAAGGATTGCTGTATGTAAGCCTGGGTCCTGCCCACATATGCAGCAGGAGCACTGGGCTGTGCAAAACTCTCCCTACCATTGCCCTGGATGGGTAAGCTCCTAAAGAACCAAGGCTGTCCTGAAGTTTTCCTGTGGTGAACAGAGTGCACCTGCTGCCCAAGGACTTTCCTGTAAATCAGGTCTGCAGGAGCTGACTGGGAACCAGAATTATTCACTTTTCAGCTGACTGGAGACATGAGCTGGGCCATTTGTTGCACCAGCCCGGGTGAGGAGCAGCCCTCACCTGCTGCGAGCCTCGGTCTGTGGGCTGGCTGTGGAGAAGCCACCAGCTGGGCCAGCCCTGGCCCTCTTTTCTTGTGCTCCATCGAGGGATCATCCTGGGACATTCACTGTGCATGTGCTCAATTTTACAGACTCTACTGGATATTTTTTGTACTTTCAATAAATAGTGATCCCAAATAGAATATGTGATTTTTCTCATTCCTGTGTCTTCCCTCACTGTCTCATAGCTGAGGCATTGCAGTTTATCATCTCATTGCTGTTGTTCAAGACAAGCCTTTCTCTACTGCACTGATGGTTCATACACAATAGGCAACAAGAACAAACTTGCGCAAGTTCTGTCTTGTCTGGCATTGGTCAGAGAAGAAACCCTGTACTTGCTAAATTATGAGGGAAATTTCAAACCATGAAGGAAGCTGATGTGACTTCAATGCTCTGGGTCAGCTTTTCAGAGGTATCAGATATGTAAAGATGTACTTCACTGGATTTTCTGTTTGTCATTGAAGGGCTGTTAGGCACCTAGTTTCATCCTTACCTCCAGGTAAGGAGGAAACCATTTCTTTCTTGATTAAAGTCAATTCTCAAGATGTGCTGTAAGAACCAAAGCAAACATCTGCTATTGCACTCCCTCTTAACAAGCTTGGACAGGATATTACCATGCCCACTAAACCATATTATGTCAACTCAATTTTTAAGCACTTTGATACATGCACTATCTGAAATACCCAACTGTAGCCTTCAATGCCTATGTCCTGCCCAGCAGTGATTTCTAACACTGAAAGCCGTGGCAGAGGGACTATCTGAAAAGTATCAGCCCAGACTTGATTTCTTACAAGAAGAAATGTCATTTCAAGATGGAGTTTGACTCCCCAGCCATAGCTGGCAGCACACAGTGGGTGATCTCTTGGCATTTGCTTTGGCAATCAGCGCAGTCTCTTAAACTCCACTTCCCATAGACACTGTCTCTGTGGAGATTTATTCTGATATCTTGAGTTTTAGACAGCTTGTTCTGCATTTTGGCTTCAGCCAGGATGCCACATGATGTAAAAGAGCAGCTGAACTGAGTGGACATCTGCTGTCACAATAGTGACCATTAAATTTACAAGCAGGCATAAACCGGGTGGAATTAAAAAGGCAGCAAAATCCCAGTCCAGTAGGGAACATAAGCCTAATGACTGTGCCTAACGCTGGGGGATTTATTTCCCTTACTTCCCCCTCCCCCCTTCTCCTCCCCATTCTCTCTACCCTAATTCATCTAACTTAGGTAACTGGTTCACCACTGGACTCTCAGGTTAATAATGAACCTTCTGAGTACACTTGGGGTTTGGATATATTTAGATAAATGGCCTCTCAAGCAGCAAATAAATACCAGCCTGAAAACAGCCAGAGCATTGGCCCATGGTACTGAATAACACCACTCTTTGAAAGGCCATTTTCTAGCCCTGTAGAAGATAGGTCGGACTGGCAGGAATTGTCATGTGGGAAAAGGAAAACAACTGCAATTATTTTTTATTTTTTTTTTTCTCTCTTAAGCAATTCATTTATTTAAAATAAAGTATTTCTAACAGAGAACCCTGGATGTAATTTTTCTTCCTGTATCCCAGGACATTTGGCATTGTGCCTGAAGATCTACATGGAGGGAAACTCCAGTAGTTTATAAACCTGTAAATAAAAAACACTTCACTTTTCATGAAAGACATTTGAAGACGTGATTTAGTTTAAGACCCTCCCCATGGGCCATGGAGGAGGGGTGGGAAGGTGGTAAGGAAGAGCTCTTCCTTTCAAGCAAAGTAGATTTTGGGCCTTAAAAGTGGTGAATGCCACCAGCTGTCCCTCCTGGTGCCATTGGCACAGCCAAAGCATCCCATCCCAGAGCCACCCTGGTGCCACGTGTGCTGTTGTCTATCCCAGCTCCCTGAATCCCTGCTGGGTGTCTCCTTCCCTCGTGCTGCCACCTCCCCAGCCGGACTGAACATGCCAGGGATCTGGGGGGCTTTGGCCACGGATCCCCCCAGAGGGAGGAGCCCCATCCCCCCTAAAGCTGAACATATCACGGCACTGATCT